AGAATCCAGCCAAGGGCCTGGATCCCACGGAAATGTCCTGCATGAGTCCAGCTAAAGACCTAGAGCCCATAACAATGTCTCATGCAGGCCTGTTTCATGGATCTGTGCTGGGAAGGCCCAAAGGTCAGTAGTGGAATCTAGAAAGCCTGTGCCAGCAGGATGAATGATCTATGCTAGTAGGCTGAGGGATCTATACTTAAGCCAGGAAGCAATGCTCAAAATAAGAACCAGAGCTCCCCCAAAAAGTACAATAGCCATCCTCAGGAACAGTGAGGTCTCAAGTTCCTCTGATGATCATGATAGCTGAGTTCCCATCAGGGAAGCCAATGCAATAAGCTTCTATAGGAGACAGAGCAGTGCACCATGTTCCCCTCCAGAACCAGGAAGAAATGCTCAAAGTGAGGACCAGAGCTCCCCCAAAGTGAACTGAAGCCATTCTCAATGACAACAAGGTCCTGAGCTCCTTGGAAGATGAGAACACCCAAGTTCATCAGGAAAACCAGTATGACAAGCTCCTCCAAGAGAACCAACAGCTCCTAACAGCTTCTAACAGGTTCCCAACAGCTTCTACCAGCTCCCAACAGCCTCCTCCTTCTTCTCTGTTCAGCCTTTTATGATGGTGGCAACAATCCTTAAGTGGGCCTCCCACACTCAGCACCACGTTGGTTAAGTTCAGCTGGGAAAAGCTGACCACCAGTTGTCAATCCACTACATTTTCTATTTAATTTTTTTGATGCTATTGTGAGTGGTATTATTTTCCTGATTTTTTTTCAGTGAATTCATTTTTAGTGTATAGGAATGCTATTGATTTTTGTGGGTTACTTTGTTTCCTGTTACATTGCTGAATTTGGTTATTAATTCTAGGAGTCTTTTGGTAGAGTTTTGGGGGTCTAGTTGGTAGAAGATCGTGTTATATGCAAATAATGATACTTTGCCTTCATCTTTTCTATATGTATCCCTTTTATTTCTTTTTCTTGCCTGGTTTCCCTTGCTAATGTTTTGAGGACTATATTGAACAGGAGTGGTGTTAGTGGGTATCCTTGTTTTGTTTCTGATTTTATAGGGAAAGTATTCAGTTTTCTCCCATTTATTATGATGTTGGCAGTAGTTTGGCATAATGGCTTTCATCATCTTGTGATAAAACTCCTTCTCTACCTGTTTTCTTCAGGATTTTTATCCGGAATGGATGTCAGATTTTGCTAAAGGCTTTTTCTGCATCTATTGAGATGATCCTGCGATTTTTGTCCTTGATTCTGTTAGTGTGATGAATAACATTTATTACTTTGCTTATGTTGAACCATCTTGCCTTCCTGGGATGAACCCTACTTGGTTGTGGTGTACGCTCTTTGTGATAATTTTTGGAATTCTGTTTGCAGGTATCTTATTATTTTTGCATCTATGTTCATTGGAAAGCTTGGCCTGTAATTCTCTTTTTTGGTCGGATTCATGTCTGGTTTTGGAATCGCTGTAATGGGAGCTTCCAGTAATGAATTTTGGGAGTACTTCTTCATTTTCAATTTCATTAAAGACCCTGAGGAATATTGGTGTAAGAAAGTCCCTGAAATTCTTCTAAAATTTGGTTGTGAACCCATGAGGTCCTGGGGTTGTCTTAGTTAGTAGGGTTTTACTGTGCTTCAGTTTTATTGCCTGTTACTGGATTGTTCAAGATTTTTAAGTCTTCTTGGTTCAGTTTTGGTAGAGCATGTCTGGGTATCTCTGTTTCTTCTGAGTTGTCCAGTTTTTTGGTATATGTTTGTGAAGTGGTTGCTAATAATTTTCTGGATTTTGGTGGTGTCTATTGTGATTCCACCTTTTTCATTTTTAACTGCTGCCTGCTTGGAACCTTCTCAAGTGTACCATCCTCTTCAATAAAAGATAACTTTGCTTAAGGTAGTATTTTTTTTCTGCCCAATGAAGTGCTCTCTAAACTTGCCACTTTTGACTCTGAGTTTCTTTCTGCAGGCTTTTCTGCAAGTCTTCTCAGGAAGGACCCAAGATCCAAAAGAATACCCAAGTGCAGACACAACACAGACCTTCAAGCCAAGAGAGGCAGAATCAACAATGCAGTAACAACTCTCAGATCCACACAGCAGCAATGGATGAAAACTCAGATGTAAAATTTAATAACGTGGCTTGCAGAGTTGCTTGGTATGTTGAACAAAACTGATCATGTCATTTATGTGATAGTTGGATCCTTAAGGAGAAGAACTGAAACACTGAATTAAAACATTTATAAAAGCTCAGGGAAAAGTGAGAACTAACCCCCTAGATATAAGATTCCTCTCTTGCCTGAGGAGACCAGACTTTCCAGTCTTTGGAATCTGCTAATGATGCAGCTGGGTACGGTGGGTGGTAAGGATATTAGGCCCTGAGGATTTCCTTCTAAAGCTGAATCTAATAGAGCATATCATCATGCATGTGCCAAGAGCTCCAAGAGTCTTAGCACATGGCAATTCTAGGCCACCCCACACTGAGATGACCACATCCCAGCAGCTTGAGGCCAGGGCCCTAGGGTAACTGAAGACCTCATGCTGGCAGGAGACTTCATTGTCTGTTTTGGCCAACACCAGGCATCCCTTTCCTAGAGCATTTTCTAAACAAGGTTTATAGTTGTGAATATGCATGTAACTTCAGAATATCTCTCCAAGGACCTGGATGCCTGTTATTTGAAATGTGACCGTTGAAAAGGACAAGGCCTCAGTCTCTCAATCTTTGTGGCAGAACAGAGTCCTAACTTCCTCAATTGCCACCAGCGGACACAGCTAGTGCCAACTGTCCAACGTCATAATACAGAAAAAAAAAGATGTAACTAAGAGGGTAGGGAGTGTCAGGGGTAGGTCACACAGCAACTTGAGCAAAGTTTAATACAAAGAGTCAGTAACTGGTAACAAGGCAGAGCCTCCTAAGGGGCAATGAGAATGCTAAGGAATATGGGAATAACAGAAATCAGAGCAAGATTCTCCCCACGGTTGAGGTGGAAAATTCGACACAGTCATGCTGAACAGAGTGTGGCTGGGCCTCGTGGTGGCAGAGAGATTTACTAAGGTTGGTGCTGGTGGGGTAGAGGAGCCAGGGAGTTCTCTGGGATCCCACCCAGGGCGATGCTGTCAGCACTGAGGTGAGCTCCACTGGGCATGCTGTGCATCCTTCAGGGCTTTCCTGAAAATCTACAGTGAAGCCCTCTTCCGGGGGACCCTTCCTCATCCTCTACTGACAAGGCCTAACATTGCTCCAGCTGCAAAAGAAACACGTCTTTGGATCCAGCCCTTGAAAGTCCCATGTGTTTCTATGGCTCCCTACCTGTGCTTCTGTGAGCCCCTCCAGAGCACCAAGCCCCTACCCCCAGTCCCTGCCGACATGGGCCTTTCCGAGCAGGGCTTCTTTCTCCTCACTGGCTTAGTCCTGTGTCCAGTCAATGGGGAAGGCCACTCTGACCTCAGGGAAATCGCTATTACCATGGATGTCCAGGGCACCAAGGCGGGTTTCCACCCAAGGACCCAGTGCCTGAAGGGACTTTGCAGCCCAATGGCCTGACCTAAGCCTTAGGACACAAAGGGCATTTGAGACTCATTAGGGCACAAAGCACTGGAGCAGATGAGCCCGCTGCAAGGCTGACTGCAGGTGTGGGTCTGTCATCTTGAGGCTCCACGGGAAAAGGACTTCCACCGGCGCTGACCCAGGACAGCAGAGAACTGGTGCAGAATTTCCTGCACAGGCATATCCTGGGCTCAGGGATGCCCTGCCTCAGCTGCCCCAGCCCTTCCATGAAGGACAGCTACAGGGGACAGCACAGCGGGAGGGGAGGCTCCTGGGGCCTGTGACCTCCGATGCCTCGGGAGCAGGACATTTCCCAGCCTGGGCCACGGAGATGCTCTTCTTGGGGAGAGCACGGGCCCTCTGGGCTCCTCCAGCCCTCTTTCCTCCTATGGTGAGTAGTACATTCACATCCACGGTGCGTGCCTCACTAGTGAGCCACAGTAGTGTACAAGGGACTGGCTAAGCCAAGAACTTGACTTTTCACAGGCCCCTTAGGAACCTCTCACCAGGCAGACTTCATTTTGTTGTGTTTCCACTGGCACCTCGCAGTTCCATGAGAACTGGAGGTGTTGTCTTAGGAGGTGCTGAGTGTAGTCTGCATGTAAATAACCACAGACATAGGAAAGACTGTGATGTATGTGAGAATTTGGCACCATATATTATATAATCTGTGACCTTCCTACTGAATCAGCCTCCCAGCCCCCCTTGAGAAAGACCCGACCTCCCAGCCTGCCCCATAAAAACTTCTCCCGAGGAGAGGAGGGGCTGATTTCTCATTCCTTTGAATCTGGACTCAGCTATGAGCATTTTTGTGTTTTCCTATTTTCCGCATTTTTTGGCACTCTGAATCCAGGCTTTGCTGCCCTTGAGAGTCCAGCCTTCCTAAATTAGCTCATTTCTAGGGATGGTAAAGACCTCACCTGTAAGTCCCACTTTCATGTGCAAAGAACCCACACCTGGGCCATGGTCCAGCATCGGACAGCAGGCCGCCAGGGGCCACTCTGAAAGCCCAGACCTCTGGACTTACTCCCACTCCCAAACGTAAGTCTCACAACCCCCCCGTTCAGGCTCTTGTCCTAGTCCCTCTCCATCTGCCCAGCTTGCTGTGCTATCCCTCCAGTGGCCCTGCCTGCTGTGGCAGCCACCTGTGTGCAGGGAACTGTGGCTGTGCTGAGAAGTCCCTCCCTCCCGATCATCAGGGTCATGTGTGAGCATCTTCTCACTCCTGGGAGAGCAAAACCCAGGCCAGGTGTGGCGGCACAGCCTGTAACCCAGCTACTTGGAGGACTGAAGTTGGAGGATCTTGAGCTTGAAGGCAACCTGGGAAACCTAGAGATATCTTATCTCAAAATCAAAAGGGCTGGGGAAGTAGCTCTGTGTAGAGCGTGTACCCAGCGTGTGTGAGACAATGAGTTCCATCCATATACAAAAAAAAAAAAAAAAATCAAGCCCGGCAGACCCCATGTGGTGCACATGGCCAGGGGAAGTTGACCAACTTTATTGACAGCAGAGGCTTGGGGAGGTGTGGGTGCTGGGCCTGGTGTCTCTTGTCGCTAGGAGTTCTGCCTCTGGGTGACAAACGGCGGCGGAGTCCCAGCTCCTTCTGGGCCGTCTCTGGCCCTGCTTCTTTGTACTAAGTCTCTCTGGCCAACTTACAGGCATCTGTGGACCCAGGAGGAGATAAAGGGCAGGGAGGAGAGTGTGTGTAGTCACCATTTGACTCAAGAAAAGAAAAACTGAAGGTACAGTTTTATCCCAGGGGTAATGGAAATCATGGTTGAAAAGGAAAAGGAAATCAGGAAAAGAATTCCTTCTCATTACCAGTACGAGGAGGGTCAATGAGTTCATTTGTTTTCAGGTTCTTGCTGTCCACAAACTCCTGAAAGAGCCCCAGGATCTTTGGGTCTTCATCCAGGCTGTGCGCTGCGGGTCAGATGGGTAAAGTGAGCGTGGGAAGGCAAAATGCCCATACAGCCCCGTGGTGTGAGGGGGTCGGGGCCCCTCGATCCAGAGCGGACCTCACAGCTCCCCCAGGGCCTCCACACACTAGCTGGACAATCTGAAGGCTCGAGAGGAAATGGATCTCACCAGCTGGGCCAGGCACGCAGAGGGCAGAGGCAGAATTTGCTCCACATGCACACAGTGGGCTCGGGGAGGCCCTGCCCCAGCCCCTCTGGGAGAGACTGGAGGGAGCATAACGTGGAAAAAAGAGGGGTCCACATGTCTGTGCCCTTCTTACTGCATCCGCCCCTCAGTCCCTCTTGAGCAAGACCTTCTCTGCCAGCCTGGCCCGTAAAACCTTCCGACGCCCATCAGAGCTCATCCTGGGCCCACTGTGCACCTTCAGCTCCTCCAGGCCTCTGCCCAGTCACTCCACTCCTGGAATCTCTCTCAGAAAACCCAGTCTCAGAAGCTGCACCCTGAGCTCCTCCTAGGCCGCAGGGTGTGCGTCGTGCCCATACCCGGCCCCAGGCACCCTGCACCCCACAGGCCGCACCCTGCACTGAGCCTGTACTGTGTGGGGTTTGCCCTCCCCGGAATCAGGGTGGCCCAGAGAAGTGAGGGACACGTGACATTCCATGTAGGAGAAGGAGATGGGAAGTGACGCAGACAGGCCTGGGAGGGTCTGGGCAGCGAGAGGGCCCCTGAGGTCCACAGTCGTGATCTGAAGGTGGGGCCAGGGCACAGGGAGTGGGGCTTTCTGTTACACCTTCCTGCTCCAGCCCAGGCCCTTGCCCGGGACCATGCAGGCCCAGAGCCCCCTGGGTAGGAGGCAGGGGCAGCCAGACAAGGAGGTGTGGGAGGGACAGGAAGATGGACAGGGAACGCTGGGCAAGGCGGATGGAGGCCGCCCTGGGAGGCTCTGCACACAGAAGGATCCTTGGAGCAGAAGCGCCGGACAGCTCTTAGAACGGGCGAGGACAGCTCTTAGAACGGGCGAGGACAGCTGCTAGCCCGGGATGGAGCCGTGACTCTGACAGGGTAGTGATGGTGACAGGATCTGCACTGCCTGCTGCTGACCTTCGGGGTGGCTATTCTGTAAGTGTGGAATCCAGCACACAGCAGGTTTTGAGCAGAGCTCTGGCCTCTACTCTCTGAGTGACATGACCCCACTGCTCCTGCCATGACGACAGCACATGTCTCCAGACATTGTCACCCCGCGACTCTGGGAGCCGGGAGCCTCAGTCAGGCGCTCATGTCAGAGTAGGGCCAAGCCAAGAAGTCAGTGAGGAGGAAAAGGAGGATTCAGGGCCCAGTGGGTCATGAGCAGCCATGGACCTCAGCCACTAGGACTGGTTCCATGAGAGCTGAGGAAGAGAGAGTCCAAGAGCTTATAAATCCCTCTCCCTCCAGGACTCCAGGAATCTCAGCAGTGGCCCCCCGGGTGGGAGCTGCTGGAGCTGGATGAGATGGTGCACCTCCTCCACACCTAGACCTGGAGTCCCTGACCACGTCCCACAAGCTCAGAAAGGGCAGGACGCACCCATGACCATCATCATCTGGTAGTACATGTAGTTCATGTAGCCCTGGAAGTAGGCGATGGCGTGAGTTCTCCCTGGCAGGAAGTAGATGTAGATGGTGTGCTTCCACCCTGCAGGTGACACAGACTGTGAACATCAGGTCTCTTTACGTGGATCCTCCTGAAAGAAAGAATTCCCAGGTGGATACTTACGGGTTACAAAGGTGCCTGGTTCAGTTCCTGCATCCAGGGGCAGCTTGAACTCAATGCATCCAATGGGTTTCCTGGAACACAAGGCATAAACATGGTTCCTGCTGCTGACACTTGCCCGATCCTTCCTCCCTCTGCTCAAGGGCTCTCAGCAGAGCGGTCAGCCCCCACTCCCTGCTGGTGCGTATTACTCTGCCGTGAGCCAAGTTTCACCTCTGTGGCCAGCACCTCCAGGGGGTCCTCCCTCAGGTTTCCAGAACCCTGGAGCCTGGGGCTGCCAAGGAATAACTGAAACTAGGTGTTACATTGCACCGGCGCATAAGGCTCTTTACACAGCTGTGGCTGGTCGGGATCTGGCTCCCAGCAGAAATATAGGCACAAGTAAAACCCCACGCAGCCCAGGCTGAACCCCAAAGCCCTCTGGAGGCTCCTCTCCTAGTCGAGAGGACAAGGCTCAGGAACTGCTGGCTAGCACTTTCTTTTCTATGGTATTAGGGAGGTAAGGCAGGTACTCTACTATTGAGCGACATCCCCAGCCTATCATCCGTCTGTCTGTTTGTCTATCCATCCATTTAATTTATTTCTAGAGAAGCTGAATCATTAAGTTGCCCAGGCTTGCCTCAAACTTGTGATTCTCCTGCCTCAATCTCCGGAGCAGCTGGGATTGCAGGCACCGTGACAGCTAGTCTTTCCCTGTAATAACAGGCCACAGCCCCACAGCGTGGCTCGCTGTGAGCTCCATATTTCCTCTCCAGGTGGCACCAAGTGGGCAGAAGCCGGGCAGGTGTGGAGCCAATGACCAGTCTACACTGTGAGTTCAGGACAGCCTGGCACCTGGCTCACACCTGGCCATTTCCTGCCTAGGAGGCCGGGTCGGCCCTGGATCTCCAGATGGATTTCTTAGATGACAAGGTCCTGAATCTATTCTTGCTCCAGACTGGGCTCCTTCCAGACTATGGAATGTGCTGAAGAATCCGGAAGGGTCCCAGAGCTCTGTCTGTGCATAGAAATGAGCACGGTGCCGGCACAGGGCTCCTCCAGGAGCAAAGAGCACCGTGCAACGAAGCCAGGTCCCAGCAAGTGCCTGCACAGAACGTGGCGGGTGGGTGCCCCAGCCTCGTGTGCCCAGCTCTGTGTCAGTGTGAGCATTGTCTCTGCCGCTACAGAGGCCCCCTGGCACACTGCCAAGATACAGAAAAGGGAGGACTTTCTGATGAGCGTGGGCGGCAGCAACCAGAGAGCCAGGAGCAGAGAGGGGAGCCTGGCCAGGTACAGGGTACTCACATGAGGTTCATCCTGAACTCCAGCTTATTTTGATTGTTTATGCGCAACGTGAAGGGAGGCATTGGGTGGTTCTTCGTCTCGTCAGGAATAGGCATGTCTCCTGCCCAGCGTATCATGTACCAGGTTCCTGGAAGCTGGAGGTGGGGAGCCATCCCTGAGCAGGGCTGCAGGGGTAGGGAGAGCCAGCCGAGGGGACCCAGGCTGCAGCCAAAGAGAGAGCAGAGGCAGGAGGGGTCTTGGCTTAGGGCCTCAGTGCAGGTCGCAGGTGCCTGAGACATTGGAGGAGAGGGAGGGGTGCTGGCCATAGCATGGCCCTTCTCTACCAGCGGGAGGCTGAGGCAGGAGGGCCAGTCCAGAGGCCCACCTGGGTGCCACACTTCCTGGGAGGAGCTCTGACCAGGGCCCCTGCACAGACCTCCAAGGGGGAAGTGGGAAAAGTTGCCCAAATGACCAGATCAAACCTTTATCTTTAAGGGAACAAGAGAAGAAGACAGATAGCAGATCAAGTGGTGACCAGGCATGGGTGGAGAGCAAGACAAGGCACTGACTGAGGGTCAGGTTTTCAGATGGCCACAGTCACTACTGCTGGGCTTCGACCAGCCCTCAGGCTCTAGTCTATGCCTCCTTCCTCTGCCCACGCCTGGGTCCTCTAGAAATTGGACTCATCAGTGTCCTGAATTCAAGGGACAAGCATCCCTGAATCCGACAGTCACAGAGTCCTTAAATGCATGACTCCACACCAGCCTCAGATCCAGTTCCCGTCCTGTTCAAGCTCTCTGGATCATTTCCTCTTGTACCCAGGGCCTCAGGGGCACAGGTGAGGCTTGGAGTGTCTGGGTGCAGGGGACACCCAGACCAGGCATTGGTGTGGGAAGAGCAGGGAGGGGCACTGCGATCCTCAGCCCAGCTGACCGGTAGCGTGACCAGCAGCTGGCCAGCTCCCTGAGAAGGAAAAGGCGCACCGAGAGTCACTGTGGAGAGCCCCCGGGGTCAGGGTGTGGGTCCAGGAGACAGACTTGCTGTTAGATGGATCTGGGGTGCCTGGACAATGGCCTTGACCCCTGGGCCTGTTTAAGACCAGGTCAGTAGGTCAGGGAAGCTGTGACCAGGCACATTTCTCCATCAGTACTGGGCCCTGGGTTTACGTCAGATCTTCTCCAGTGGCTTAAATCTTGTCCTAAAACCCACCTGGGTGAGAGTTTACATTAAATAGGTCTGGGAAAATCCTTAGGTTTGTGCAGACCGTCCTGCATGAGGTTTTCACCAGGAAATGAAAATGCTGAAGTGAATCCATTCTGGTGAAGGAACGAAGCGTCGCTGGAGCCCATAGCAGACAAAGGGAAGAAGCAGATCCCTGCGCCGCAGGGATGGTAACACCCAGCCCAGTCAGTGACAGGCTGGGGCGGCCTCCCTAAGCCTCAGCTCAGCCTCTGCGCGCGCTCCCAGAGGGCAGGAAGGTGAAGCACTCTCCCTTAGGGACTGCTTGGTCCCACGCCTCAATCGAGCAGAGCCGAGGGTGGCAAGCAGGGCATCCTGCCAACATCCACCTGGGGCGCTGATCAAAGGGTATGAAACTCTCTCCTGATCAAGACCCGGCCTTGGAACCTTAGGTCCCACCCCAGCCCTCCCCAGGAAGGTCACCTCCTCGGCACGAGCGGGAGCCAGTGAAGGCAACGCAGCTTGCACTGCAGAGAAAAGGCTCAGCCCCGTGGCCAGCAGGAGCAGCTGCATGGTCCCCGGGTCAGCTCTGTGTTCCCAGTTGGCCTCCCTGCTGCCCTTTTATCATACACCTGGTGGCCCTGGAGGACCCTTCCCTCCCTCCCCTGCACGAAGGCTCTGCCATCTGCTCTGCGGGGCAACTGTCTTGTTTTGCTTGGACCTTGTGACTGAATGGATGTAATCTGTGTAATTAACCATTGTGACTGTCCTTGGACACATCCTGAGGAAGCATTGTCCAAAGGGGGATGGTATCAAAGTGGGAAGTGCCCGCCTCTGGAATCTGCAGCCAGGAAGATGACAATAAGAGCTCCTTGTGCTACGTCCCAGCGCCAGGAGTCTAGCTCAGCCCTGGTTCTGACATGTTCCGGGAATCTCCAGCCCAGGACAAGACCCTGTACCTACCAAAATCAAAGCTTTCATGCCTTCACATTTACCGTAGACCTTTGAACTCTAAGAACATCAACCAGCTCTCCTTACCTTCCCGTACACCTACCAAAGGTAGCCACAGCCGGCAGGTGCTGGAATTGCTGTAGAGAGTGTGTGCCCAACCTCCGAGACCAGGCTGGCAGGCTCTTGGACATGCCTTGGGAGTGCTGGGTCTTGGGAGTGCCTTGCACTTTTCTTAGCCTCCTTTTATTCTGCAGAGACTGCCTCAGTCATGAAGCAGGAGTGGGCTTAGCTAGAAATCGGTGGTGTGAAGATGACACACCAACAGTGACACACTCCCTTGTTTTTCTCCTAATTAAAAAAATTATTGCAGCAAAAGACACATTGCCATTAATCCCTCCCAACACTTGCTCTGGCTTCCAACACATTTCTCCCACCATTCTTGCCACTGTCTGAAGCAGTTGTGAAAGTTCTTCACGAGTGTCTCTAGTTGCACTGTCCTGGAATGAATTCAAAACAGTTCCCTTTCCTGGTTGTTTTCATGTTGAGGCGGAGCCAGAAGTCGTCCGGTGCCAGATCTGGTAAATAAGGTGGATGAGGACACACCATGATCTATTTATGAGCCCGTCTTTCCCTTGGATGGCACTTAGAAGCAGCAGTCATTGTGTTTTTTTATCAGTATGTGTTTGAGATGCATGATTATCACTTTCATCCTGGGGACGGGTACATAAATATCCACCTTAATCCTTTTACTACTGGAACACCTGGGGTGCACCCCACTGTGACGAAAAATGAAAGCAGAGATGGAGAAGGTAGGGTCCAAGCAATTTTATTTTAAAGATAGAAAGGCAAGGAAGTAAAGCTTCTGCTGACCAGGAGGGCTATCTGAGTAGGGTACCCACAAGGGCTCTTTGTCTAGGGTTTTTACAGGATTTAGAAGGGAGCTCAGGCTGTTGTATAAGCAATATAATCTCTACCCTAGAGGACGCTGTATATTTTTAGGGTCCAATCTGTGCATTGTCCATGCAGAGCCCTTGTGCCCTGAGCCAGGGGCCAGCCTGACCATGCTTTGGGGAGGCCCCAGACACCAAAGGACACCTGGCAGATGTTTTTGGAAGATCCCTGGAGGGCCGTGACTCAGCAGACTCCATGTTGAGTTTCCTAACTGTCTTTAGTGCCCGATAGGATCCCAACTCCTGCCTCACTGATTCCTGTTACACTCCGAATTTCTCCTTTTTCTCCCATCTCCTCTAGCCCCAGATACCTTTTCCATCTCCACAAAATCTACCTCCATGTTTCTATCATTCACCTTTCACTTTGCTCTTTGTACTTTTGGGTTTCTCATATAAGAGAAACCATATGTTATTTAACCTTCTGCATCTCATTTATTTCACTTAGCATTATGGTCTCGATGAGTATCTATTTTCTTATAAATGACTCAAATTTAACATTCTTCATGGCTGAGTAGTACTCCACTGTGTATGTGTAATGGTTGATACACTGTGTCAACTTGAGAAGTTTAGAAGTTTGACTAAGTGACTCAGCAGGGGGCCAGGGACCTCACTTTGTGAACATCCTGAGCCTGTGCAAGAGGAGGGCATGGAGATGGTGTGGGTGTAAAGGACCCACCCTAGGGCAGGTAGTCTGCATACAGTATAAGGGTGGAAAAGAAGCTTGCACCCTGTCCCCACCGTTTGCTCTTGTTGCTTTGCTGTCTTCTGCAGCTTTGAAGTTTGCCCCTGTACCATGCCACCTTGCCTGGGAGCCAGCTGATTACAGACTGAAACCTCCACAAACTGTGAGCTAAAAACACCTTCCTTTTCTTAATTTTGGGCATCTGGTATTTTGTCTCAGCAATGAGAGAAAAGTAACCAAAACAGTATGCATACATTTTCTTTATCCATTCATCTGGTGAGGGGTTATAGGCTGCTTCCTAGACATAGCTATTATGAGACCACGCCCTTCTTTGAGCTCCTATCGTGTGGCAAGTGCTGGTCAGCCCCTGGGCACAGCTTCTGTATGCTGCCCTATGCCCCTCATTTCACCGGAAGGGATGCTTTAGCATCTGGCTACTGTGGAGTTGTGGCTTCCCCTGCCCCCTAGCATGAGGCTGTGCACATTCCCATCAAACGTCTGGAAAACGTGCAAATCAGAATCTGCAGATCACAGAAGTAAAGGTCACGAGAGTTTCATTCTGTCTGAGACACTAAAAGCCGCGATGATTTTACTGAAGGACTGCGACGCTCCTCTACAAGGGTCAGGGGTGTGCTGTGCACGGTGGAACTGAGCCTGGCAGATCTGACACGAGTGTCTGTGGGAATCTCCTGGGGTGTAAACGTGCTGAAGGTACCGTGCACACGAGACTCTCCCAGGAAGTGCTGCTGATCACCACTGTCACTGACTGACCCTGTGCACCTGTTCTCCTGGGAGCCCGAGTCCTTGTCTACCTAGGCGGGGAGAGTCCGCTGGGCAGGGCCCATCCCAGGGCCCCGGGGCAGCTCAGTTTGGCTGCCTTGGGAGGAGGAACCCTGTGATTGGTTACTGAGAGCTGGCTTGTGGGACAGACAACACCTGGTGAGGTGGATGTTGACACTGAGGACACTGGATGTCCCGGGCACAAGGACGTGAGTCAAGGCTCATGTCCAGGGCTGGAGCTAGGCCGTCTGATGCAGGATCCCAGCGGAGGGTGGAGACAGGCTTTTGGAGGAGCGTAGAGTCAGGGTGAGTCAGACCCGGCCCCACAGGGAACAGGGAGGGCAGAGGCCAGTGGCAGCGGTGGGCTTGCAGCAGGGTGACGTCAGCGGGAACAGCTGGGGTCCCTGCGGGGGCCTCTGTTGCCCATGTGAGTTATCATACCCTGACGAGTCCACAAGGAGGGTAGAGTGAGCATCCCCACCACACAGACGGTGAGCCTCAGGCTGGAGAATACTCACTCTTCCCTATAGAGTGGCAGGGCTCTGAGATTCCCTGGGGCTTCCCGATGATGTCACAGGAGAGGCCTCTGTATGCTGCGTTTCTAGGAATCTTTGCTCCTGATGCCCAGGGAGAGGCCTCGTCTTCCCTACACTAAGCTGGTTCCTGTATGTCCCGTCCACGTGGAGGTCCCTCTGCCAAGACTGCCCTGGCCCCACCCCCAGCCAAACAGCAGGGATGGCTCTGCGCCCTGCCTCAGTGCGGGCTCCAGGACAGGAGGATGTGACCATCAGTGGCACCCTGGAACCCTGGGACCCAGGAAAGCCACTTTAAGGGACAGCATTCAGGAAGGACCCCAGGCTCCAAAGTCAAAGGTCAGGGCCCGGGTCTTATTTTCTTGTGGGTGACCCCAGAATCACCCTGAGTCTTGGTTTTGCCATCTGTTAAATGATGAGTGTACGGGATGGCCTGACAGGGTGTTCTTCCTGCTCCATGAGAAGTGACATGCGTGACCCTTCTTTGCTGGGTGCCTGTAGAGAGCCACATGCCAGCTAGTCAGAGGAGTCTGCCAAGGCCTGCCTGGACAGTCCCTCCTCAGGGGGCCCTGCTGCTGGCTGGGCCCAGGATGGGCCTTGTGTGAAGAGGAGTGGAGAAGAGCCAGCACACTGCAGGTGAAGGGACTCGGCACAGAGAACAGGCGCGCGTGCCCTGGGCCACCACGCAGGGCTTGAGAGGGACACGCCGTGGCCTGTCCCAAAGGGGGCCCGTCTAGTGCGGGCCCTGCTCCTGGGTTTCATTTATCCTCATTCATGCACCCACTCATTCATCCATTTGTTCGTTCCTTCATCCAGCAAGTTCTCACTGACGAGGACCCGCCAGGGCCTCTGCCTCTGTGACGTTCACGTCCACTCCACAGTGGACTGGGTCATGGCTCCAGGGTTAGCAGAACTGATAGTAGAAATGAAGCAGCCACTTTATTAAAACACGCCTGCATTTGAAAGAAACAGAAAAGTCTTGCTTCCCATTTCATCTTGGAAATAAAACAAACATATGAAGAGTAAATGTGTCTTTTTTTAAAAGAAATCACCAGCAGAGTAAAAAAAATGTGACTTATATTTAGCAAAACATGTGTTATATTTCCAAGTAAACTCAATGTTGACTGGGTATTTGGAACACATTTTTATGATTAACTTATAGCATTCCAGCAAAAACCTTCTTGGGCCTCCTCAGTTTTCCTAAGGGTTCTCCAACCCTATGTTTCAGTCATTCCCCCAGGAAACCTCCATCGTGTGACCTTTGTCCATTCTCTCTCCTGTGGCTGTCACGTGACCTGGTGTCCCTTGGCGGTGGCCTTCCTTGTCCTTAGGGCGGGCAGCCCTCGTCCGTCCCTCAGCTCTGTGCACCCCTGTGTCTTATACAGTGTGCGTCTTCATGTCTGTCAGTTTGCCTCTTGATGCTGCGCCCCGCGCCTCGACCGTACGCCAGGTCTCCTTTCATGGCGTCACGAGGCTGGCCTTTAGTCCCTGTTCTGCAGGGGAGGACACTCAGGTAGAGAAGGCCCAGGGGCCTGGTGACATCACTCGGGCGGTGTGGAGCCTTGGCAGATCTGGGTCCCTGGAGGCAGGCAAGGACTCAGCAACAAACTTTTTTGTGATCGATGATCTCAGGAAGCCGGAGTGGGTCTGTAGGAAGGTGAGGTGGGAGGGGAAAAGCAGCGAAGGGCCTGGGTGAGCGAGTCCA